TTCCATTTAAATAAAGTTTGTTTTTCTGAGCCCACTGGCAGATATTTGTTCTTGTTTCGATCATAACTCACTTCATTTTGATCAGTTTCACAGCGAACCAGACTTCTTATGTCATTTTGCTTCTCAATTAAATGTATCTTAATTTAAGTATCTTTAGACATTTGCACTGGAAAGCGACAAAAATACCGAGGAAGAAATCACTTTTTTTGTAGTGTGATAAGAATGTACACTGTAAAAAATAAGTGTAATTTTAACTGTAAAATTTTGTAAAAACGCTACGGAAAAAAACTGTTCATAGGTTAACAGTAAGTTCCCGTACAGGGAAAAACTGTAAAATATCTAACCAGATATTTCATGTCATTTTACAGTTTTTAGAAGTAAAAAATAACAAATCAATGTATAATTTACAGTCAAAAACTGTAAACTGATATTCCCAGAATTCCCTGCATGACACTCCACATTTGAAAGTATTTTGTTTAAATATTCATGTTTTTTAAATAGTTTTTGTTATTAGTTATGTACATTTGGGCTTTATGTTACATCTTCTGTTGTTTAATGAAAGTTGAATGCATTATTTAAGTATCGTGTGTGTTACCATGATGGTGTTTAGTGTTTGCATGAATGACTCTGTGCACCCTCTATATATTTGTTGATACTTCTGCTTGTGGCGAAGCTACTTGTGATGAGCTTTGATTCTTCATGTGGCTTTCTCTTTTACCAGCTGCATTATTATGCTGGTTGTGAGTATGTTAAATGTACAAAACAGATTTTAATAGCAGTGTGCATTGTTGAATTTACTGGTTTACATTCAAATTTTCTTGTTTGTAAATTACAGTTTTATACTGTAAAATATATTTTTATACCGTAAATGTGTTTACAGTTTTTCTGTATTTTTAAAAAAATTATTCTGGCAACCACAGCTGCCAAAATTATTTTGTAAAAACTACAGAATTTTTTTTTACAGTGTAGAGTAAAAGTGATTGGGAGCAGAGCTATAAAATTATGTTTTTATAAAAAAATTTGTCAAATTAATTTAAAGGTAATGGAAGTTGTATTTTCAAACTTTGAAGTGTTGCTACGCATATATAACTCATTTACGCATTTACACTTAGAGAGCATATTGACGTATTGTTTCGCTTTAATTTATTCTTTACATTTTCTTTACTTGGTCTTAAAAAAGGTCTTTAAAATTTCTTAAATTTGCCTTCATAAAACCAGCAGAAACCCTGGTTATCAGGGTCTCTTTTTGTTCTGATCTTTAGAATAGGGTGTGTGTAAATGATGAAATCTGTGTTGTCAATTGTTTTTCCATAGGGAGACATATATGAGTTCCTGTTGTTGCTGAATGCGAGCGGATGAAACACTGCAGACATTCTCTTCAGTAACTTCCAAAGTACATGGTTGCTTGTCTTATGTTGGCTTCAGGTTCAGGTGGAGTTGTCTTTAGCGAGTGCATATGTACAGTACATTTACATAAAGCTGTGAACGCCTCGCATCCACCTAAACCTCTCCAAATAATGAGACCGGATCCCTATCCCGCTGCAGTCATAAGGGTGGTGCATGATCTTCGCTTTTCCAGCTGTAATAATCGGCAAGAGCTCCATCAAGCTCTCTAAATGTCATTCTCTGAAAGTTCGATTCTTGTTTGTATTACTCGGATGAGTGAGCGGCAAGCCTTCTGACCTTCACAGTCGATCTGACTCTTCTAGTTGGTCCCTTAGATAGACTGAAAGGAAGGAGGTTAATTAGATCTCCGTTTTCTGCCCCACTTTCTTCCAGGTGTTTTACGCTGTTTGATGCATTGACTCGAGCCGGCGCGTAATGCGTGCTCTGACTTGAACAGACCTCTGGCAGGATGATGTAAAGCAAACATTCCTCCCTGCTTTGATTGGCATCTGTTTTTTTCTGTGGCAATATGGTCACAATTACTCCTGCCGTCACATTCCCCTAAATCTGTAACAGACACGCATCGAGGATTATGTAAGCAGCAGGTTTTTGGCAAATGGTGCATTTCACAATATCAGATCATTGCATTTGCTGCGAATGGCCTGCGATCTTTTCTGTCCTTTTCTACAATAGACCTCAACACAGACTTTTGGGTTTCTGTTGCAGTCTGAAGGTTTATAAAACGAAAAACATTGTAGTTTCTTGGCACTTTTATGGCCCATGGGTTGGTTTCTATTAAAGCTAACAAATTTAACCAACTTTTTGTGTGTGTGTGTTATGGGATTGTCATATTAAAACTGGCTTGGAAACTTTTTGCCTTGCCTGCATTTAGTTTTGCTACTTTTCACATGCCTTTTATGTAGTTTTTATTGTCAGTTGTCTCAGGCTCAAATTCTGACTTTCAATTTTTAAATAATGTAAAAACCATCATTAAAAATACACGTTTTTAAAACTATGATGATGCAAACACAGAGTGAAATCAACAGAAAGTCAATTATATGCTAATTACAAACTTAACGTGTGGTTGCATTTACCATTGTTCAGCGAATTTTCGTAGGTGAAATCTAGTCATTTCAATAGGAATCAACGCGATTGAGAATTTCGCTTGAGCGCAAAACATTTCCAGTGTATATTTTCATCAGGTTCAAGATTCGGCCTGTGTTGAGCAACAGAAAGCTGCTTAGTTTGAAAGTGACTCCATACATCACTGCACTGTCGACAATAAACAATGGAATTTTTTTGTTCGAAATTGCTGAAATTTCACTAATTTGACTGTACATTTAGTCTGTCAATTTTTCTGTGTAATATACTTTTTTTCAAGTCAGTCTGCTGGTTTACTAAGGAGACCACAGTTTGAAATGAATTATGAGACATGTTATGTACAAAGAAAACAAATAAAAATTTATGTAAATATCAGTTGCAAGCAGAATATTTTTTCTTAATCGGTCTCATTTCAAATCGAGCCATAATTCTGTAAAATGACGTGAAAAATGAGAAAGTATTTCATTGTATTTTGAGTGCATAAGGAACTAGCTGTGAAATTAGCCTATATGCAAAACAAAGACGACATTTGATTTAAAAAATAATAATTTCAAATGTGACAGAACGGTGTCAGGTTCAGAAAAATGACAGAATTGTCCTGTACAGTGTGAAAAGTATTTTAAAGCAAAGTTATTTTCTAAAATTGAGCAACAGAAAGCTGCTTAGTTTGAAAGTGACTCCATACATCACTGCACTGTCGACAATAAACAATGGAATTTTTTTGTTCGAAATTGCTGAAATTTCACTAATTTGACTGTACATTTAGTCTGTCAATTTTTCTGTGTAATATACTTTTTTTCAAGTCAGTCTGCTGGTTTACTAAGGAGACCGCAGTTTGAAATGAATTATGAGACATGTTATGTACAAAGAAAACAAATAAAAATTTATGTAAATATCAGTTGCAAGCAGAATATTTTTTCTTAATCGGTCTCTTTTCAAATCGAGCCATAATTCTGTAAAATGACGTGAAAAATGAGAAAGTATTTCATTGTATTTTGAGTGCATAAGGAACTAGCTGTGAAATTAGCCTATATGCAAAACAAAGACGACATTTGATTTAAAAAATAATAATAATTTCAAATGTGACAGAAATTGTTAGTTTCAAAATATGACGGTTCAGAAAAATGACAGAATTGTCCTGTACAGTGTGAAAAGTATTTTAAAGCAAAGTTATTTTCTAAAAGTCCACTGGGCCAAAAGTGTCATAGTTAAATAAGAGCCCTGTCCCAGAATCCCACACTTGATTTGTATTTATGGCCAGTGACTTGCAGAAGCATATACTAAAATTTCCTGCATAAAAAAAACAAGATTTGAAAGGAATGATGATAAAAAAGTTACGAGTTAATGGTAGTGTCATAGTTAAATAAGAGCCCTGTCCCAGAATCCCACACTTGATTTGTATTTATGGCCAGTGACTTGCAGAAGCATATACTAAAATTTCCTGCATAAAAAAACAAGATTTGAAAGGAATGATGATAAAAAAGTTACGAGTTAATGGTTGAATAAGTAACTGGAGAAATGTTCCACTAGTGATTTTGATGTTATGGTTCTGTGCTCTTGAAAATTGTTAATCTAGACACACACAAACACACAGAAATCACCCTGCCAGGTCTGAGCGATTTACTTTAACATTCCTCTCATATTTATTTAAGGCAGCTGAATCTGGCTAGTGCTAACATCACTTTAACAATCCTGCCGTTTGGTGGGAAAGGATTTGAGCCAGTGGCTCCTAACTAGCAAGGCCTGTCATGTACGTGAGATGAATGTCTTTAAGGATCAGTCTTGGGCTTTAACTACCCTGATTGTTTGTGTTTGGAGACATTCAGCTTTATTCAAAATGCTGGAATGGTCAATGGCTAAATGCTCCATGTTCCCATTCCAGAGTGGGAACGCCATGGACTCCTTGAATTCAAATTCAAAAGAAGAGGAGTGAAAGAAGTGATAAAGAGCACTTTTGTAACTAATGAATGTGTAGCAGAAGCAGCTCTTTTTTTTATTGGCCGGCATAAGTTTGAATGCTTCCTAAGACAAACAGTTATTGCAGAGCGCGACACGGTTTGTTGTAAAAGCTCGGCTTTTCTCTTGGGAGGGAATGCATATTTTTGACCTGTGCTGACGTCAGAAATGACACTCTCGTTTTAACCACAGCTTACTTACTCTCAGGCTGAGAGACCAGATGCTGACATGGTTTATTACACTGCTCATGTTCAAAGTCACGAGGAGATTTCATGAGGTTCAAAGCTAATTAGCGTTCACATAAAGTATCCTGGCAATTAAAGACAGCATGAAACAGCATTTGCGATGCATTAAACTTCTATAATATGTGTTTCTGAAGAAAATCAGCATTGGATTGTCTTGTAAATATGTATTTTATCCATTGGGATTTGTGGAAAGTGCAATATTCTATTATTGATTAATATTATTTTTCCTTTCCCGTGCACAATTATTAAGAATGCAAATGTTGATATTGTCTGGAAATTGTTTTAAATGGCTACTTTTGTCTTTTTGTCTAGGTGGAGGAGGAAAACGGAAAGGAAGAAGTAAAAAATGGAGGGAGATCCTTCGTTTCCCTCATATCAGTCAGTGCACAGAGTTGAGCAAAACCATCGGTAATGTATCAACGCTTAGTGTGTCTTGTTATACACTTCCTGTCATTTTCAAGCTCCTTGTCAGCTGTGCTGTTGTTCTGGCCAAGTGTGATGTCACTTTGCTGTTCGCCATTGTTTAGCTGTCTCTGAGTTTACATTGCCATTGGCTTAATCCCAGTTTGCTTACAGTCTGAGAAATAGTATGCAAGAGTGCGTTCCAAATTACAGTAAAGTAGTGTGTCAAAGGTGCCTGGATGTCCCAGTGAATTTGTGAAGTATGCATCCTTGCATGCTGTTTGGTCTAATATTGCACACAATCCCTTGAGCAACAGAAGAAGAGTGACTGTTATCCAACTTTTTCAACTGTTGAAAAATAACAGCCAATTCAAGACTTACTTAAGACTTAGGTTTCCACATTTTTTAATTTATAGAATATACACCAACATACTGTCCAACAGTTCACAGGATTTTGAATGTCTCTCAGATAAGTCTCTTATGCTCACCAAGCATTCAGTTAAACAAAAATACAGTAAAAAATGTAATATTTTGGAATATATTTGCAATACTAAAATAGAAAACCGTTTCAAAATGTATTTATTCCATTTTTCAGCATTGTCATATGATCCTTCAGAAATCTTTCTAATATGCTGATTTGATGCTCAAGGACCATTTCTTATTATTATCAATGTTGAAAACAGCTGTGTATTACTCACCTTCATAGCACTGCCAAACCTGTATGACTGACTTTCTTCTGCGTCCCTATAATGAAAGTCAGTGGTGTTCAAAACAGCGTTGGACCCCGCTGGTTTTCATTGTATGGGCAAATTATCTTCTTTTGTATTCCATAGGATACATTAATACAGGTTTTGTAAAGACATGCGGTTGAGTAAATGACAGAATTAAAATTTTTCAGTTTTCTTCCTTTAAAAGTATGCACCTTTCCGTTAACCACAAAGTAAGCCTACATTTTTTACATGGTACAGTATATACACTCACTGGCCACTTTATTAAGTACACCTGTTCAACTGCTTGTTAACGCAAATATCTAATCAGCCAATCACATGGCAGCAACTCAATGCATTTAGGCATGTAGACATGGTCAAGATGATCTGCTGAAGTTCAAGCGAGCATCAGAATGGGGAAGAAAGTGATTTAGATTTCAGAAACTGCCGATCTACTAGGACTTTCATACACAATTATGTGAAAATATCCAGCGAGCGGCATTTCTGTGGGTGAAAGTGCCTTGTTGATGCCAGAGGTCAGAGGAGAACGGCCAGAATGGTTCAAGCTGATAGAAGGGCAACAGTAACTCAAATAACCACTTTTTACAACCAAGGTTTGCAGAGGAGCCCATGTGAACTGTAGCCTCAGGAAACTGAGGCTACAATTCACACAGTCTCAATCAAAAAGAAGATCAGAAAAAGGGTTGCTTGGTCTGATGAGTCTTGATTTCTGCTGTGACATTCGTAATAGGGTCAGAATTTGGCATAAACGACATGAAAGCATGGATCCATCCTGCCTGGTATCAGCGGCTCAGGCTGCTGATGGTGGTGTAATGGTGTGGGGGACATTTTCTTGGCACACTTTGGGCCCCTTATTACCAACTGAGCATTGTTTAATCGTCACAGCCTAGCTGAGTATTGTTGCTGACCAAGTTCATCCCTTCATGACCACAGTGTGCCCATCTTGTGATGGCTACTTCCAGGAGGATAAGCTCAAATCATCTCAAACTGGTTTCTTGAACATGCCAATGAGTAGACTAAACTCAAATGGCCTCCACGGTCACCAGATCTCAATCCAATAGAGCAGCTTTGGGATGTGGTGGAACGGGAGATTCGTATCATGGATGATCAGCCCAGCAACTGCGTGATGCTATCAGGTCAATATAGACCAGAATCTCTGAGCAATGTTTCCAGCACCTTGTTGAATCCATGCCACAAAGAATTAAGGCAGATGTGAATGCAAAAGGGGGTCCAACCTGCTACTAGCAAAATATACCACCACAGTACTTTTTTGTAAAGTTTTCCTTTTATTTTGTGTCTCAGAGCGGGACTATTTCAGCCTGTGTGACAAGCAGCCCATCGGGAGACTTCTGTTCCGCCTCTACTGTGAGACCCGACCAGAGCTGCAGCGATGCATCCAACTCCTGGACGCTATGGTACATCTGCGCACACATACACACATCTCCAGCACTCAGTGCACCTGATTTATGTTCTAATGAAAGCAGAATTAATTTAGGATTGTCCAAACAGCTTTTAGTCACTAATTGTTGGTTCTTTTAAGCATCTCCTCATCTCTTGCCCACTCAAAATTTCTCAGGTTTCTCGTAACTCTCCATCAGTGTTCCACTGGCCCGGACAACATGCCTCCCACATGACTAACTTGGGCTATCATGGAGTAAAACCCAAAATATCAGGACTGGCATGTGGTCACTGAATGAGGCCATTGTCTGGTCTCTCCAACACCCCTATAGACCCCAAACTGTCTGAACCCCGGGAACCTGAACCCATGACAGGAAGTCGCCGTCATAAAACATGGGACAGCGTGTTTGTGTTTTTTAGGACTTGGAAAACGTGTTCATCTTGTTTATGGTGTCTTGGAACGTTCTCCTTCTCATTTTAACAAAAACCCTTTGTGCGGTGTAGCTGTATAAGTGAATAGGGAAGCTTTATTGATGTGTTTCAGAGACGAACATAAATGTCATCTGAAAGTCAAATAAAATCAAACAAAAATGGCCTGAACATAAAAGCACCGTAATCGTGCCTGGGTTACGATGTTACAGCTAATGAAGTAAGAGCAGAAGATTTTTAAATAATGAAGGGAAAATGCCACAATGGTATGTTTTTAGTGAAAATTATTATAATAATCATGTGTGGGGTTGTTTTATTAGGTGCTATTTTAGGAAGAATAGCTGTCAATAAAGGTCCATAGGACCACTAAATTAATCAGAATTATAGCTCCTTGTTTGGAGTGAATCTCACGGAGACTGTCAAGTCATATTTCACGCAAAAATCAAAAGACAAGAAAATGAAATTATATATGAATGCATCCTTGCTGAATAAAAGTATTAATTTCTTTCAAAAAAACTAAAATCTTACTAACTTTTGAACAGTGCATATCATCTAAATTGTAAATGAATATTTCATAATAGAATTAGTTTCACCTCCTGCTATGATTATTATAAAAATCATTGTGTGCAAACAGAATGGTTTCCATTACTGCATTATAGTGAGATCTTGTTAAATAATGAAATTCTACAAACAAACTCGGTTTTGCAATTTCTTTAGATTTTTTAGGGTGAAATAATGGCCCCAAGATGCTCTTGACAGACTTTGTGAGATTCACCCAATTAAACTCTGTTCTCAAGAAGAAGAAAAAGTGCTCTTTATGACACAGAGATGTATTGAACTGAAAATGTTTGATGTATGTATGTATGTTCTGCAGGCAGTGGGCATGTATGCATGTGTTTGTGCTAGTCACCATAAGGAAAGAGCCCGGGGGATTTTTTTGAGGCCTGCTCTGACGTCAGAAAGTAGCGGGATCTCAATTGTTGTGGCGAGTTAGACAGCACTGTCTGTGTCTGCTCTGTGTGAGATCTGTGTGTGTGTGTGAAACAAGAAAAGAAACGTGAGAACTTCATGCGAGAAACCTCTTCACACATTTCTTTGGGTTTATGTGTACACAAAGACAAATGAAATGTGCATGCCGCTGACCTTTTTAGTCTGGGTTTTGTTTTTCCATCTCGGTGGAGGCGGAATCGTCCGATGTTATCGCACACATCAGATTGGCCCAGTTCCTCTGTGTCAGAGGCAGCCCGCCATTTGTTTTGGCCTGGTGGCTCTACTGTACCATTCAGAGCCGCTGACGTAGGTCTGTTCTCAAACCACTATTATGATTGGATCTCTCTCTGTGTGTATGTGTGTTTGTATTTTCTGCTTTTTTCCATGCGGTGACCTTTAACATGCAGGCATAGCTAATTCCCTTGCAAATTCCATCATTTCCCATTAGAAAGGTGGCCAAGAGAGCAGTATACTGTATAAGCCCTGTGTCCTTTCTCAATGTCACTGTAATCTATAGTTGTATTCTAGGTTCAGTACAGGTTACTTCAGTCGACAGTATTTGTGATACAAGTAGCATGGGCACGTTCCCTGAAAAGTCACTGTTACAGTAAAGCGCTAACAATGGAAGTACCTTCGTGGAGCCAGGGAATAAACATTACAAAACACACTGTTTAGTATAGCCACAAGACCTAAACATTATACATTCACTAACTCTGCATGGATGCATATTTATGCGTAAACCCTGTGTGTGAACGTTTAAATTTCTGCATGAATTTAGAATAACATTTATATCCAGCTATAATTTTTTGTGTCAGTAGGAAATATATAATTGGGCATCATCTCTTCTTCTTTACAAGCTATAGCACAAAATAAACATGAATGAACATCAGAAGGTATCTTGTTTCAACCGCGGAGAGACGTCAATACACCGACGTTAATCTACTCTCCTGTCTGTTTTCTTTGTCGGACAAAGTGGCGAATTCTGCATTATGATTAGTCAGATCGCCTGTCAATCAAACTCCAGCAAAGGGTAAATTTTGGCTTTTATTCAGATATAAACACACATACATAGAGCACATCGAATATGGTAAATGAGGCTTAAACGTGCTTGCTTGATGCATGAGAACCAGTGAGGTTTGTTCTCTCGCGTCTCACAAGCACATTTGAGCTTCCCCAATGAGTAATTGATGGGAACTTTTTTAAACTTTATGTTAAAGAGAACTTTCCCTTTAACTTATGCACTAGCTGCAATTAATTCCATAGAACCGAGTTCTATTGAACTCTGAACATTCCTTGTAACATTCTTTTCTTCCTTCATTACTCGCGGCACTATTTTAAATCTTCCATTGGAGGAGTTGGCAAATGTGTTAAGGGGAATGGAAATCATACTGCTGCATGTGTCGAAACGCAGTGCCCGTGCACACACACACACACACACAGAGTCCCCCACTATGTAATGACGTTCAATGTATTTAGTGACGCTGCTGGGCCGTGCTGTGGCGCTCCAGGACCTTATGGAATCCTGCCGTGTTGACTGGCTGGTTACCAAGCAACCTGAAGTCACACACACGGTGGGCTTCATGAAGCGTGTGTGTGTGTGTGTGTGCTCATGAAGCATATGTGTGATGCGTGTGTGGACACATGATTTGTGCGAAAACCTATTTGCGGGTACATATGCTTTGGCATAGGCGCATATGAGCTTGTGTGTATGTGTGTGTTTACATCTTTCGGGACGGAACCGAGTGGGGGCAGGCGGTCATGGAGAGTCTTGCGTAATGGGATCCACAGAGCACGAGGGCCGGAGAGGGTGTTGATGAGGGTGTCATCAAGCATTACCCCCCTAACACACACACATAGGCACATTTACGGCCCTTGGGGAAAGGACGTACCAGACTGTGGAGCTCATTCATTGTGTAATCACTCACAGACTCAATTACATGATGCTTCTCCCTCATTCAGCATATAGAAATGGATACAGACTGAAATGGTGAAGTCAGTGGATGTAGTTTCTGTTTTCCTGTGTTGAACAAGTGATTTGAGTTCACATAATACTCTGTCGGTCTCGGTTTCATTAGTCTCAAGGTTTTTGAGTATCGGCACAAAGTCTGGTCAATATTAGCCTCACATAACTAGTTCTTTGACTAACACATCAAGTCTGGTCCACGTTGCAGCTTATTCTGGGCTTAAAAAAACACTGTCTGACTGACTTATAAAGTGAATAACCATAGTTGTTTTGTTTTTATATGTTGTGGGGTCTGAAATAGGTTATGCCGTAATAATAGACTATTTATTTAAAATAATTAAATAATGGCTCAGTTTTTTTTTCTGCATACCCCCTAAAAGCTGGGTTGTTGCACCCTCAGTAAGCTTGTTTAGCTTAGAATGCCAACTTATTTTAATATTATTTATAATATTATTTATTCTTTTTTTTTTTTTTTTTAAGTTTTAGTAGTTTTTATAATGTTCTTTGTTTTTTTTTAAGTGCCCCTAGGCACTAAAGGTTCCTAATATTGTTTTGGGAGTCTCCTACAATTGGTTTACATGCATGCAAGGTCAAAAAACGATTTTTCACAAAAAAACAAATATTTTCTCAAAATGTGCATGTAATATCACCTAATTTTCCAACGATTCGCTCGAAGCAGTTCTAAGATTCAGTCTCTCTAAACCCCTCCTCTCTGTGAGTCTACTCTGCTCTGATTGGTCAGATGGCCCAGTCTGTTGTGATTGATCTACCGTGTACAGCGTGTGTTGGAAACGATATGCCTATTGCCATAGTTCCATATTTTGAACGCTTGGCAGAAAATATAAATATCTATTATTTATGATTCTTACAGGCTGTGATTCAGGGAAGCCATCTGGTCCAAATAAACTGTGTACTGAACCATCTTTCAAGAGCAAGCGTTTTGTGAATCCTGCGTTGAACTCCCCGAGATTAGAGCAGCAGTCGCCAGTCAAGCTGTTCGCGGCCGGCTAACGTAGAACATAGGCGGGCGTAATGCAAATGTGTTACCCAGTGACATGTAGCCGTCACAGAAGTGGGATTTGAATTACTGATGGCTCGTTTAGGCTGTTCAGAGTCCATTCTTTCTTTTGGGAGACAATAACTTTATTTATCGTGTACTTTCTGCTTTACAACTTTGTAGATCGCTTACATTCACATACAGCTACATTACACACTGCATGAACGGCAGTATTCAAAATGGCATAAAAGGGGCACTTTAAATTTGTCTATTTAGCTTTAATTTATTAATTTTAGTAAATGTAATGTAAATGTGAAAATGTAAATGTTGGCTAAACAGCTAATATTTATTTTATTTCAATTAACAATAACAATTTAAATAGTTTACATTTTAGTTAACAATAACAACACTGACTGGCAGTTGCATTAATTTATTATTGCTGAATTAAATGAATAGTTCATCCAAATAATTATAATAGTCATAATTCATGACACTTACCTATTTTTGATGCACAAAAGAAGATATTTTAATAAATGTTTCAGTTGTTGTTGTCCATATTGTGAAAGTTGGTGGGGTCAAAAACATTGGACTGCTTTGACTTTCATTGTACAGACAAAAAAGTTGCAAAGACATTTTTCTAAATATCTTCTTTTTTTTTTTTTAAGTGTCACGATGGGCATATGAATCTGAAATACCCCTGAGAGTGAAGTGTGGATAATTCAGTTCAAATCAGTTTAATCTCAATGCTATGAACCTTAAAGTCTTGGGAAAGGCTATAAACTGGTAAACACAATTCTCAGTGAACTGATTAAAAACCTTTGCTCCCTCACTCCCAGAAATTACAATTTGCCATTTTTAAATGCAGTATGCATCAGCCTGGCTCCTGAGGCTGGCTACTGTTTCATTACCGTCTAAATTAGATGCATTATGTCATAAGGTATCATTTATATTGTGGATTATGTTATGGCTTGTTTATCTCAAAGTTCATTTATAATTAGTTGTGAGTAATTTGTTTGTATCTGAACATTTAGGAGGACTACGAGGTGGCACCTGATGAGAAGAGGAAGAGTCGCGGAGATGAGATCATCAAGAAGTTTCTCACCAAGCAGGTGTGACTTGGTTTAGCTTTCCTGTTGCGTGTGTGTGTTAATTTTGGATCTTGAATGTCTCCTTGTGCATCAGTAATCAGAGAGCATGTTGTTTCTCCTGCAGTCCTCTGAGTGTGTAGATATAGCTGAAGGTCTTGCTGAAAGTTGCAGAGAAAATCTAGAACTGAGCCCCTGCAAGGAGATCTTCAGTGACTGTCGCAAGTAAGAAACATGCAAACACACGTGTAAACACCTGGACCTCTGTTGCTCTTAAACTAAGCTAATTCAAATACCTTAACCCCAGCCCCAACTCTTCTTGTTATAGATGTCTTATGGTGTTTTTTTAGATTTGAATTAAAATGCTAATTATAATTTAAATAATTAAATATTACAAATACTTGTTTCATTTTTACTTTTATAAACAATTACTATGGTTTAATGTATGTTTGTATGCTTACACTATGTGCTAAATATATGTATTGCACTAGTGATGGGGAAGTACACTAGCCTTCGAATGTTTCTTATGCTCACCAATGCTGCATTTATTTGATCAAAAATTAAAAAAAATTCAGTGTCACACGACACTTCAGAAATCATTATAATAATTAATGCTGATTTTGGGCTCAAAGGCATTTATTATTATTATCAATGTTGAAAAGAGTTGTGCTGCTAAATATGTTTGTGGAAACCATGATGCTTTTTTAAAAATAATTCTTTGATGAATAGAAAGTTCAAAAGAACAGCATTTAAAAAAGAAATGCATTTTTGATCAATTTTAATGTGTCTTTGTTGAATAAAATACAAAATTTCTTTCTCAAAAAGACCAAAAAAAAAATCATACTGTTCCCAAACATTTGAATGGTAGTTTATGTAATATGTGTAGCGAGCATTGTACAGATTGGGACAGACTGCAACAATAATTTTGTGCAAAAATATTCCAAAATCCACCAGAAATTGTTTTCACACCTTTTACATACTATTTTTCAGCATGCAATAATTTGGACACTGTCATCCTAATATTGCATACTATGAAGCAGTGGCGAGGCTACAGGTGGGCACTTTCAGCTGTGGCCCACCCAATGAGAAGTTGATAATTTTCCAAATGGATGTCATTTATTAAACGATAATAATAATAATAAACGTCTTATTTCACTATAACTTTATATATTTAGTTTAAAAAATATTAAATGCGAGCTTTCATGGTCAATTACACAGTCAATTAATTTTCTTCATTTTCCCTCTTCATATAGGTTCATACCATATGCTTGTCAAAATGATGATTCGTCTTTCTGTTAACAATGTGCAATACATTTACTACAATATTTATTACGTTTGTTAACGCTAGGTAATAAAAATACAACCTTTCGTTTCGATGTTAACAGAACTTTAATTTTAATAATGTCAATGTTGAAATTAAAATGAATGTTTATCAATGCTTTAGAAGTATTTTGTATTGAACCTTTGTGCTGTATTTTCTGTTGGCAATTTGACATGCAGTTTTCATACCCTTCACTTTGCCCACCCACTTAAACATTTGTGGCCTCGCCCCTGCTAGTAAAGACAGTATTAGGAGTTAGGGCTGCACGATTATGACAAAAATCATAATTGTCGATTATTCCCTTGAAATTGTAATTGCGATTATTAATTACGATTATCACAATTTACATTGAAATATGTTTATACCATTGTTTGATGCAACTGCATGCTATATTTTAGATGAAAATAAACAAGCTGAAAACACTAACTGAACAACTTGTATTGCTTTTCTATAGTATTAAGCCTCAAATGTCAAATATACATCAGATTGGTTTCTTCTTTAAATGATAAAAAAGTAAAAATATGAATGGTATTATAATGTTATACTAAAACTAAAGCAATGGAAACACCCTTAAGATAACATGTAGAAAGAAAAAAAAACATATCTTAAAGGGGTCATATGATGCTTTTTTAAAGATCATTATTTGGTGTATTTGGTGTAACAGAATATGTTGACATGCTTTAATGTTCAAAAAACACATTATTTTTCAAATACTGTACGTTATTGTAGGTCCTCTATGCCCGCCTCTCTCAAACGCTTCGTTTTCTACAAAGTCCCTCCTTCCGACAAGCGCAGTCTGCTCTGATTGGCCAGCTGACCCAGTGCATTGTGATTGGCCGAACACCGCAAGCACTCGTCGGAAATGTAACGCCAGATAAAATAAATGTAAAGACAGAGCCCGAAAGGGGAACCGAGTCGCGTGACAGACACAGTGATGAAGCTGGTATGTGTATGTGTTACACAAGCCTCTCTCTCTCGCGTGCACGCACACACCGCTCTCTCTCTCTCGCTCACGCGCGCGCACACACACACACACACAATGCGCAAAACTCCGCATTTGACCAGTGAATAGCAAATACTTAAACTAATAACAAAACAATAGCTGATTCAGAAGTGCCAGATTGTCATAGCAAAGTCAGAAAATTGCATCATATGACTTTAACCGTGCAGAATAACATAAGTGGACTTTGAACAATTAATTGCCGCTTTGAACGATTACGTAATTGAGGCATCCATAATTGTAATTGCGATTAGAAATTCGATTAATAGTGCAGCCCTAATTAGGAATGCAAGATTATGACAAAAATCATATTTGCCGATTATTCCCTTGAAATTGTAATTGCGATTATTAATTACGATAATCACAATTTACATTGAATGATGTTTATACCATTGTTTGAAGCAACCGCATGCTATATTTTTAGATGAAAATAAACAAGCTGAAAACACTAACTGAACAACTTGTATTGCTTTTCTATAGTATTAAGCCTCAAATGTCAAATATACATCAGATTGGTTTCTTCTTTAAATAAAAATGTAAAAATAAGCATGGTATTATAATGTTATACTAAAACTATATTAAAGCAATGGAAGAACCCTTAAGATTACCTGTAGAAAGAAAAAAAAACACATCTTAAGCATGCAGAATAACATAAGTGGACTTTGAACAATTAATTGCCGCTTTGAATGATTAGGAGTTGTGGCATTCGTAATTGTAAATGCAATTAGAAATTCGATTAATTGTTCAGCCCTAGACAGTATTCAGAATTAAGCTCTTTACTGTAATCTTTACTTCTTTTGTCTGTGTACAAGTGTACTCACAGATCTGCCTATGGTCTCCTAACGGTCTCCATGCTGTTTTAAATCTCACAGAGCTCTTCATGACTACTTAAGTGGTGCTCCTTTTGCTGACTATCAGAACAGCATGTACTTCGACCGCTTCCTCCAATGGAAAATGCTAGAAAGGTTGGTTGCACAATTTATCTCCCTTTACTCTGTCCGTTAGTCTACTTACTCTACCATTTGTGCGCTATTTCATTCTTTTGGTTTGCTGTTCTTAGCTCGGCTTAAAACAGACGATCTGGATCAATTATATTCAGCTGTTATGGCAGTTCGGACGCTAATCCATTTAAATGATTTGTTAGCGTAATTGTTTACAGCTCAACACATAAAAGCAAACAGCCATGTTTTGGTCATAAAACATTCAAGTTACTCTGCAGTGTCTGTGCTAGATATAAACTGATTTGAACATCTTTACATTTGAGTGGCCCATTAAAAAATATATGGAAAATAGTTTTCTGTGAACACAATTCTGAAAAGCCTTTGTTTCACAAATGAGGTGGAAAATGTGTTTCTTGTAAAGTGTAACTGTCAGTTTAAAGTGTAAAATGTTTCCTGTCTGTGCTGATTTGATATCAGATTTTGTGGTTTCATTCTAGACAATCCATCACAAAAGACACGTTTCGGCAGTATAGAGTTCTGGGGAAAGGAGGCTTTGGAGAGGTGAGGATATTGTGAAAAATGATGTGTGTGTACTGAATATTTCCTCATTTGCTCTTTATCAAAACCTAGTGAGCTGCCTACCTAGATTGTATTTTAAACATCATAAGTGTGCTCGAAGTATAAGCAGCGACATCATATACAGCCTTTATATCCTTGTATTTCACTCATTCACCAGAATTGTTGATCGCTATTAGCTTAGCAATATGCTAAGATCAAACTCTGCTGGAATCAGTTTTGAGTCAAGTTTCCCGTCTACCTCACATAAAGAGTGTTATTTGTGTGGCATGCAAAGTCGCTGTGTTGGAAGGTGTGATCACATTAGCGAAATTTCACCAAAAAACGTGTCAATAGTGTAGTGATGTATGAAGCACAACTCACACAGAACTTTAACTTGTAACTTGAACACGAGCAGAAATTCCTAGAACTCCAGTCTTCAGTGTCACATGATCCTTCAGAAACCATTCTAATATGCTGATTTGCTGCTCAAGAAACATTTCTTATCAACATCAGTAATGGAAAACAGTTGTGCTGCTTCATAGTCTTGTGGAAACCCTGATACATTACAGCGAATTTAGCTAACATTAGGTGCCTTACGTGGAGCAATGTATTCCGATTACAATCGGTTAAACGTCCAATCGGAATAAACACCTCAGTCGGAATAAAAATGCCCAAACCGATTGAAATTTCAAATCCAGTTTGACGCTTGTGACATATAAATGCACACATCATCACAATCACTTAATTTAGCGTTCATGTAAAGGCTATGTTCGGATTCAACAATCGGAATTCCAATTTCATTCCAATTGAAACAAAACGTGTCTTTAGTCAATGTAGTGGAATAAAAACTACACACAGTCTTTTCACTGCAACTTCAAAAGAAGGCAAGACAATGTTGTCGAAACTAGCGCTGGATACCTGAGGTAATTTTATGTTTTATTTTACACTGTTTGCCAGCCTGGCATAACGATCTATTCTCCATTCATTCTTACCACCATTCATAACCAATTGTTCTCCAGCTCTCCATTTTCTTTTTAAGCATCTTTGAAAAGAGGGTTTGACTTATCAAACACTCGGGGGTTTTCTGGACCTTGGCAATGAGCTTCTTCGCAATGTCACCTGCTAATTTAAATGTACGAGCCCTTTAAATTTGAATGGATTCTGATTGGCTGTCTGTGTTTTTTCTTTTATTACCTGGAAATAAAATCATTTTGAAAGTGGTCCCAGTGGCTATCATTAGTTGTGGTGTGAACTATTCTCTTAAATTGAGAACGACTTCTAGAACTTTGTTTTTATATTTATCGTTCTTGGTGTGAACAGAACTTTTAATGCGAATTCACTGTGTGCTGACCAACACAAAACTGCTTGGTTTGAAAGTGACTTCTGGGTGAGCTGTGCCATCGACAACAGACAATTTTTTTGTGCACATGCAATTTTGCAAAATTGTAAGGCAGAAGGTAACAATTGTGTGTGTGTGTGTGTGTTTTTGTGACAAATGAGGACATACATTTGTATAATGACAAAGGTATGACATAGGTATTACAAGGAGAAGGTGACTTTTCAGGACATTACCCCATGTCCCCACTTTTCAAAACGCTTATAAATCACACAGAATGGAGTGTATTGAAAATCTGAAATAGCACAAAGTTTCCTGTAAGGGGTAGGTTTAGGGGTAGGGTTGGTGTAGGGCAATAGAATGTACGGTCTGTACAGTATAAAAACCATTACGCCTATGGGATGTCCCCACTTTTCCCAAAAACAAACCTCTATGTGTGTGTGATGATATAATATATTATGTCCATCTGTGCCCAGGTGTGTGCGTGCCAGGTGAGAGCCACAGGTAAAATGTATGCCTGTAAAAAGCTGGAGAAGAAAAGGATAAAGAAGAGGAAGGGGGAGGCCATGGCTCTAAATGAGAAACAGATTCTGGAGAAGGTCAACAGCAGGTTTGTGGTAAGTGGATTCATTCATTTATCTGTTATCTTTCATCAGTTTTCCTCCCTTTACTCTGGTCCTGTTTACACCGGATATAAACATCCATCTTTTGCGATTCAGTCACAAGTGGCCAGGCAGGACAGGCTCAAATGTCAAATCAAGTCACCTTTATTTATATAGCGCTTTATACAATACTGATTGTGTCAAAGCAGCTTTACAGTGTCAAACAGGAAACTAGTTTGTCAGTAATGCATATTCCTCAGTGCCTTCCTGTCTCTCTCTATTTTTTTATTTATCTAATAAAGGCTTGCTATAGCTTGTGTATTTCAAAACGGAAATGAATGCTTTCATTTATTCTGCACATCTGATCGTTCTCGTCTCTCTGGCTCTCAGGTTAGTTTAGCGTACGCGTATGAGACCAAAGATGCCCTGTGTCTGGTGCTGACCATAATGAACGGTGGTGATCTGAAGTTTCACATCTATAACATGGGAACCCCAGGCTTCGAGAAGGAGCGTGTGCAGTTCTACGCCGCTGAGATCTGCTGCGGTCTCAAGCACCTCCACAGAGAGTCTATCGTCTACAGGTGTGTGGCTCTACATCCTCAAATGCATCCAGCCTCATAAATTAATAGTGAAATTGTATGGTCATTTTATGTTGCTTTCTATCATTCTAGGGATTTAAAACCAGAGAATATACTATTAGATGATAATGGTAAGTCAAATCAAATTGTCCTTCAAATGAGCTAAGTATGGAATTGCATTGTGCTGATCATACTACTACTTTCCCTTAATATTTAGATTTTAATAAATTGTGAAATGCAACAATAAATACATTTTGTATTATGCATTTATCCCTACAGGTCATATCCGGATCTCAGATCTGGGGCTGGCCATTAAAGTGCCTGATGGAGAACAGATCCGTGGCCGAGTGGGGACCGTGGGCTACATGGGTAATGATCTTTAATTGCACTGATTTATAAATGTGTAAAATATTGGAGCTGGGAGATATGTTGAATATTCACAATATATTCACAGTGATTCTGTTGGTAATGTAAAATTTAAGCAAAATAGCATGTCTAGTTTATAAATAAAGCAACATTTTTTTAATGCATATTTTGGAATTAAATAAACAAATATTAATTATTGATTTACAGTACCATTGAAAAATTTGGGGATTTTTTAAAAAGAATGCATGCATGCAGTAAGAATGCATTATTGGTAAAAAGGGACAAAAGATTTATATTTCAAAATAACTTGTGCATTAGAGAATTCTTGGAAAAAAGTATCGTTATTTACACAAAAATATGAAGCAGCTGTTTTCAATATTGATAATAAACAGAAATGTTTCTTGAGCAGCAAATCAGCATATAAGAATGATTTCTGAAGGATCATGTGACACTGAAGACTCACAGGAATTAACTACATTTTAAATAAATTAGAAAATAGTAATTTTAAATTGTAATAATATTACAATATAACTGTTTATACTGTATTTGATCAAATAAATGCAGCCTCAGTGAGAGACTTTTTTTCCAAACACATGGAAAATATTACCACCCCAAACTTTTGAATGCTAGTGTATCTATTGAAATTATCAAAAGGCTGAACATATTTGTTTTTAGCTGCATCAATCATTCCTGCTAAATATCTATTCATAGCAATATGAAACATTAAAATGTTGTTTATTGATTGATGAACTCAAATTGTATTGATGGACAGCTCCAGAGGTGATCAATAACGAGCGGTATAGCATGAGTCCAGACTGGTGGGGATTGGGTTGTCTGATCTATGAGATGACCGCCGGCCGATCGCCTTTCCGCGCTCGCAAAGAGCGAGTGAAGAGGGAAGAGGTGGAGAAGAGGGTGCAGGAGGAAGAGGAGGAGTACAGCGACAAGTTTTCAGAAGACACCAAAGGCATCTGCAGGATGGTGAGGCCACACACACACACATATGCTGGTCAACATCCAAGATGACGCAGCGGAGTACAACTAAGAGCTTGTATCTAAAGCTACATTATCTCTTCATTCAAATGCGCCATAGAAGCTGATTTAGAGCCCATTGATTGAACGCACAAAGCTGGTAAAGTTGAGTCCATTCTGAATGTTTGGCTCATTTCACTGGCTGGTATTGCATGTTTTCTGCTGGGAAAGAAGCTGATAATGAGTTCTCTGAGACCAGCTCAGTTCAGGATTGTTTAATAATCTAAATTTATTGTAAAAGACCTCTGTTGTCTTTTATTAGGGTTGAGTCATGCGACTGGCTTTCACCCCAAGAACAAAGAATCTGTCATTTACCCATATGACTTTATTTTACAGTATAAGTGAACAGAGACAGACACTGTCAAGGAAAGTTGAGAGACATATTTCACAAAATGTGTTTTTAGGATTTTGAAAGTTAATGTGTGCTCTTAAGATGTTAAATAAATGTGTATATGATGTATAATATGTAAATGTTAAGAAAAACAATAAATTTACATGTAGTATTTTAGGGGGGAAAGTGTTCATCTTAGTGTCAACATAATAAAAAGTAAATATGTTCTAGATAATATTGCATCAATTAGATTTTGTACATGGGTAATATAAAAGCCAAATATTTACTTTTGGAAGCAATTATTTATAATTGTAGTAATTATATTAATATCACACTTTTATGAAAATATTGTTAGAAAGAAATACTTTTATTCAGCAAGGATGCATTAAATTCATCACAAGTGAGAGTAAAAACATTAATAATCTTACTGTTTCACGTATTTTGTTGTTTTGGACTTTCTGTCCATCAAAGAATCATGAAACATTATTGTTTCCACAAAAATATTAAGCACAACTGTTTTCAACATTGATAATAAGACATGCTTCTTGAGCAGCATATCAGCATATTAGAATGATTTCTGAAGGATCATGTGACACTGAAGACTCGAGTAATGATGCTGAAAATTCAGCTTTGATCACAGGAATAAATTACATTTTAAAATATGTTACAATAGAAAACAGTTATTTTAAATTGTAATAATATTTCACAATATTACTGTTTTTACTGTATTTCTGATCAAATAAATGCAACCTTGGCCAGCAAAAGAGACTTCTTTCAAAAGCGACCCCAAACTTTTGAACGGTAGTGTATCCGCTTTTAAATTTTATGAAGGGGGTCCCTCTTAAGGGGACCGTCATGTTTGGGTTTACTTGGCATTATAAAGCTTTAAAACCTCTCTGTTAACTGACTGTGACCCAATGAAAGTTTTTTTTGAAGAAGAAGAAGCTGAAGCCCAAATTAAATTTGTGAGTTTCAGCAGAGAGCAACATCAGTTTTAGTCTTCATAATAGTTAACAAATTGTATGGGGTACTTGTTTTGCTCTTCACTGCATACTCAATTTGGTATGGAAAATGTGACGTTCTTATTTTGTATTCAACAGAAGATTTAAAATCAAATAGATATCAGAATGACATGAGGATGAGTGAGCAATGACAGGTCACCATTTAGCTGTTTTGAATTTGAAATTGTTTGTCCTCATGCAAATGGCCTCCGCTTTTGAGCTGATGATGAAAGATTCCAGCCTAACTCGTTCCTGTGTGTGGTTTTGTAATGTCTGGTTTGTGATTGCTGCCCCTAGTTTTAGGATGTTTGCCCCATTTAAATGTCTTCATTTGGCACACACGCTCTTTTTCCTAGTGTTTGTCATTGACCAGCTTCGGCTGTGGTGTAATAGGTTACATTCCACTCTTAAAGAATGTACAAACCTGTGTTCCTAACGTCTGGCTGGCTGCTCTCCGCTCTCTGTCCCGCAGCTGTTAGCCAAAGATCCCAAGCAGCGGCTCGGCTGCCAGGCGGACGGAGCTGCTGGAGTTAAAGCCCACCCTTTCTTCAAGAACATAAACTTCAAGAGGCTGGAGGCCGGCATTCTGGAACCTTCCTTTGTGCCTGATGTGAGTTCCTCTTCTTATGCGCCTGAAATAATAGTCCGAAAAAAACTTTTTTCATTTTTTTTAATGGAACAATCTATTGAAGCTTTAGACACAATATTTTTAAAAATCTATAAAGTTTGCTCTTGTGTTTAGCATTGCAGTAGTCCAGCCTAGAAATGACAAGGGCCTGGACAAGAAGTTGTGCAGCATGCTCCGTTAGGAAAGGCCTGATCTTTCTGATGTTGTGCGATGCAGACCTGCTTCACCGAGCGGTTTTTGCAATGTGGTCTTTGAAAGTCAGATTGCACCAAGATTACTGACTGAACTTGATGGGGTACTTGTTGATAAAGCTAGCTGGATGGTGAAATAATGCTGTAGCGTCAGAGTGGCAGGGAAGACGAGAAGCTCAGTCTTTGCCAGGTTAAGCTGTAGGTGATGTCCTTTCATCCATGCCGAGATGTCCGCCAGACAGCCTGAGATCCGTGCAGCTACCGTTGGATCATCCGGTTGAAATGAGAGATAGAGCTGTGTGTCATCAGCATAGCAATGGTAGGAGAAACCATGTAATTATATGATGGAACCCAGTGATGTAGTGTATTTGGAGAAGAGGAGGGGTCCAAGAACTGATCCCTGAGGAACCCCTGTGACCAGTTGATGTGCTTTGGATACCTCCCCTACCTAGGCAACCCTGAAAGATGTACCTGTGAGATAGGATTCAAACCAGTGAAATGCCGTTCTTGTGATGCCCAGTGAAGAGAGGGTGTACAGGAGGATCTGATGATTTGCAGTGTCAAAATTGGCAGATAGATAGATCCACCAGAATGAGAACTGATGATTTGGAATCAGCTTTCGCAATCCGCAAGGCTTCAGTGACTGACAGTAACACAGTCTCAGTTGAATGGCCACTTCTGAAACCTGACTGATTAACGTCCAGTTGGTTATTCTGTGAAAGAAATAATGATACCTGGTTGAAAACATCTAGTTCAAGTGTTTTGCTATGAATGGAAGGAGAGAAACATGTCTGTAGCTATCTACAAGTGAAGTGTTTAATGTAGGTTTTTTGAGCAGTGAGGTTACCCAAGGCTGCTTGAATGCGGTGAGAAAAATGCCTGTGAGAAGAGATGTGTTGATGATATGTGTGAGTGCTGGTAAGAGTGTAGGAGAGATTGCTTGGAGAAGGTGTGATGTATGAGGTGCTAAAAAAGTATAAACTATCAATCAAATGACAGAAGGCATGTAGTAGATTTTGTACAACAGGCTTTTAAGCAGTTTCAATCATGTTGATAGTTTAAAAGCCATAGAAATGTGCGTATCAAATATGATACAGTAGGCTTTATAGGGTTAAATTCTATGGAAGCTCATGGAATAAAAAATAAAAAAAGGTAATTGCAAGTTTTTATCTCACAATTGCAAGTTATAAACTCTCAGTAAGACTTTTCGTCTCAGAATTGCAGGATATAAAATCAGAATTGCGAGAAAAAGATAACTTGCAGTTATGTCTGTTTTTTTATTCCATGGCGAAAATAAACTTTTTCGATTATTGCTGTTTTTCATTTTTCTTTCCCCTCTTTGCCAACTTCATAGCCCAGGGCGGTCTACTGTAAAGATGTTCTGGACATTGAGCAGTTCTCCACTGTTAAGGGTGTCAACCTGGACCAAACAGACAATGATTTCTACTCCAAGTTTACCACTGGCAGTGTCTCTATCCCATGGCAAAATGAGGTATGAAGCTGTGCTAAAAACCCAGCTGCTGTCAGCGTAATGAGATATGGCAAAAAAAATTCAGAACTTCAATAATGAATCATTGTTAACATCCCATGTGGCAAACAAGAAAAATTTAAAAAGTTTGCTGACCTCTAGGCGTATTGGTGTGTTAATAGTGTTAATAGCTTTTAATAGTGTATATTATAATGATTGGAAGGCTGCATTGACCAATCAGCATCCAGAACCGTAATTATTCATTCTTTAAAGATGTTCAAAAATAAGGATGATTTGACCTTCTCATCATCATCTCTCTCTCTCTCTCTCTGTTTATCTGTATCTGTCTGTATGTCTCTTGCTCTTTTGTGTCTGTTTTTTCTTTCCTTCCTTTTCTATTCTTCTCTGCTGCAGATGATCGAGACGGAGTGCTTCAGTGACCTTAACGTATTCGGGCCTCAGGGAACGCGGCCCCCTGACCTGGATTGGAACCAGCCTCCCGAGCCTCCTCGGCGTAGCCTGCTGGACAGGATCTTTAGGAGACATGTGAGGATCTCCTCCACCTCCACCACAGAAGAACACCCCAGAGAACACAATAGTTAACTACAGACCAGGTCAAACACCCCATCAGGACACACACACTCACACATGTAGAGTAGAGCAGAACAGCAGCGATTGGGCTGAAGCTTTCTACACAGGGGCCAAATATAACTCTTTGCCACATGAAAAGCCAAAAGGGGGTTCAGAAGTCCATTTACTTGTATTTTGCATTTTTTAAATATTGTTCTTTTTTGTCTCTACAAATGAGTTCACATGATCAATGAACAGATTTACTTGATTTATTTAATTAGTGACCTTAGAAATAGTGCAGAATTAGTCATGTTTCTTCTTCGTTGTACATTAAAATGTTTCTTTGTTTTATCTGATTTAAATCTGTATTTTTATTATGGAATCATTTAACTGTTTTAACTGTAAACAAAAAGTCGTGATTTTTTTCTTCACTTTTATTTTGCTGGTTTAATGCGAGAAATACACAACAGAAATATTTTTTTAATGTATGCTCACCAAGACTGCATTTATTTGATCAGAAATTCAGAAAAAAAGTACAAATATTCTTACAATCTAAAATAACTGTTTTCTATTGTAATAATTTCTATTGTAATTGTCTAAATGTAATTTATTCCTGTGATGCAAAGCTGAATTTTCAGCATCATTACTCCAGTCTTCAGGGTCACATGATCCTTCAGAAATCATTCTGATATGCTGATTTGCCCCTCAAGAAACATTTATTATTATTATTAATGTTGAAAACAAGCTTCATATTTTTGTAGAAAAATGTGATAATTTTTTCAGTATCCTTCAATGAATAGAAAGTTCAAAAGAGCATGTATTTGTAACAGAAATCTCTTGTCTTGTTGAAAGTAATAAATGGTAAATATATCTGATTATGTAACGTTACCCCCAACCCGGCTGGCGAGTGTTAAGTTTGGCCCCTGATTGTACATGTCTATATGTGAGAGAGCATTTATACATCGTCACTAACATGATCTATTTCTGCCTGTCATTGTCTATCACCCTTCAGCATCCAGAGGTGACCATCGCTCAAAGCCGGGTCTCGTCTTCCAGCGTCAACTCTGTTGACTCCATGTCAAACTCTGCTCCCTAGTGGACAGATTGCTTGCTGCGGGACTACAGGGAACAAAAGCGAGTGAGTGATAATGAGAGGAAAGAATGAGAGTGAGGAACTCCTCCTGCCCTTTAAAGACCGGTCGACGGAACGTGAAAGAGCATTTTCCTTGCCTTGGCCCGCACTATCCATCCATGGCTCGCTGAGAGGACAGGAGACAAAACAAGCTCCCATTTAAAGACCTTTATTTATCCGTTTTGTGACAGAAAGGAGAACATTTATTCCTTCATCTCACGCTCCCTCAGGATTGCTGGAACAGTAAAGAGCCACTGACAATTGACAGAATATTAACTCATATTATTCAGGGGATTTTATCGACAAAGAAAGGCCTCCACAGGGAATGGGAAGGGGGCTTTTTAAATGTTCTTTTGCAAAGGAAAGCTAATATAGTGAACTTAAGAGACTACACACGCACTCACAAACACACACACTCTCTCATTTCCTCCTCCATCCCTCTCGCAATACCTACCTACCCCTTTTTCTTTCCATCTACACGTAACACCTCCAACCTCAACCTAAAATGTGCATTGCCTTGCAAACTCTCAGGCCAAAGATAGAGCTTATTACAAGAAGACAGGTATTTGAGTAGCTGTTGCCATATTTCGCTTCAGAGAGTGACGAAAGGCCTAAAAGCACAAGGAAATAGGAGCTCTGTGAAGCTGTACATTGTTTCCTCCCTATTTAATTGCCAAATTATGTAATATCACTGAAAAACAAACTCACTTTGGCAGTTTCAGCCTCTTCCAGTCCACTTAGTTCACCCAAACATGTACATTTTGTCATTATTTACTCATCCTCATCTCTGTCCGAACCTGTATTGACTTTCCTTTTTCTGGTGAACATAAAATAAGATATTTTGCAGAATGTTGGTTTCAATTCCCATTGACTGGACTAAAAAAAAACAATGGAAGTCAATGGGAACCGAAACTGTTTAGTTACCAACATTCTTCAAAATATCTTCTTTTATGTTCAACAGAAGAAAGTGATACAGGATCGGGAACGACATGATGACAAGAAAAGGTCATTTTTAAGTGGACTGACCAAAGTCCGTTTTCTAAAATCTCATCTGCTCTGTGTGTCAGGCACAACTTGGTCTACAAACATAAGCTAAAGTATCTCTGTATGGTCACTTCCTCTGTGCATAAAGGCCGTTGGCAGTGGTGAAAGGCGGAGCCATCTGAGTGGGCGTGGCCTTTCTACCAGCAGATACACAGCCAATCACAGCACAACAAGTCAGTTGGGGGGAGTCTTTCTCATCTCATCACATTATTCATAAGTGGCTCATTTAACCGATTTACAAAAAATTAAAGGACTGAAAGGTTGGTTACTTAAGCTTTCATAGGTAATTTGGCGTTAATTCGAGGAAATTGCTGGACTCTTTAATCCGAGCTACTCAGATTATGCTGATGTGGAAAACAGTTTAAAAATGTGCTAAATTTGTATTGTTGCAAGCTCCAAGAGGAGACGGTATCAACCACCTAATAATCATAATCACTGCAGGAATGCCACATTTGAGCATTTATACATTTTAGGACAGCAGAATCTTCCAGATTTGGTGTGTAAATATGCCTTCATTTCATCCGATTTCAACCACTACTAGACTGAAAACTGGCAAAACTTCACTTCAGCATTTACGCACACATAATACACCAGACTCATTCACTTTCATACCTCAGTGGCTGTTTTCTCTTATTTATGCAGTTTCAAACCAGATGCCAACTGATAGAAAAACATTTCATCCGTCTTTCCCAGCTGTAAATGTACTCATTTAAAAAGTGTGCAGGATTTCAGTTGTATAGACATGACGGGAATCCAAAACGTATATCCCGTGCATAGAGAATATGTGATAGTTTTGTAGTGTTTCTTAATGAATGGATAGTTTTTCAGTAACCAAACAGAGCGATTCAAGAAGGAACAGAAAACGAATCTCAACCTCATAATCTTGCATTTACAATACCATTCCAAGGTTTTTATACGCCTCAGCATTCATTAGCGCATCTCAAGACAAATCAAGTGTATTAAAATAGTGACTTGAAGCTATTTCACGAGTACGTATGCTAAGTGCCATGTAATTTCCAATCATTAAGCTGATGTGTGTTTACCAAACGATGCATCAGTTATGCCATTAATTTACCGCGCTAGAAATGTCCTCTGAAGGTTCAAGTGTATACTTAGTACAGGTTCTAACATTTCAGTCTTCTCATTTGAAATGTGTGTGATAACTGGTTATTGCACTGTATCATGACATGCTACATAAATTGCACTGCACACTGCATGGTCAATCAACTATTCATTGAGTGGGACCAGTGTGTCTGTTGGTTTTGGGGGCTGATCTGTGTGTATTGCTACTAGTGCCATGCTGTTGTTAGCTGTGATGATTCATGGTCAATTTCAGGTGAAATTCAGAACTGATTCTCCTATTTTTTTTTTTAAATTGTGGCCAATGTTAACAGTTTGTTCGGAAGTACTTTATTTACCATTACAGCGAATAGTCCTCATTTTGCCACTTTGTGTATCCAAATTGAGGAAGTCTCATGTTGCTGATTTTGTGAATATGAAGCAGACTTTTCCCCCATGTATGCACAGATTTATATAATAATGCATTATTAATAATACAAGTTTTTCACGAAGAGGGACTGATGTAAACAGATATTATGTTATATCGGCAAGTAAGTGTTGATTTGATCTATGGAAACATAAAGGAAAGATTCGCCGCTTTTTTTTCAACACTCATAAGTCGATATGAAATTTGAGTCACAGTGAACTAGCATTATTAGTGTTATTCGAACAAAAAAGTTGTAAATTGAAAGCCTGATGGTTTGAACTTTAAACTTATCGGTTTATATTTCTCCATTGTCCCTCTGAAGTAATTTAATATCTGTGAAGTTTAGAAAAATTATGAACCTTTCCTCGGTCTGAGAGTTAATGCTTTGCTTATGTATATTTCCTTTATGTCCTCCATACAACGTGACAAATGAACTTGTGTTGACAGTTATGTAATTGCTGCATAAAAGGGAACTTGCCTTTAAAACAATGACCAAACTAAAAGGGATCTGAATTGGTATTTATATGGCAAGTAAAAACTGAAATTTCTCACTAGAGAAGATCAGTTTTTGAGGACACGGCTCCTGTTGGATTCTTTTTTTTCTTCTTGAAGCAAGTTTTAACTACATTCTGGAAAAAAATTACCCAATGAAGTGCCTCCTTTTTAGTAGTCTAGTCCAGGTTAGTGCCCATGATACAGTTTGCACTTTGTGTGTCACTTCAGTTATTCACATGATGTAAACATGTACACGCACAAACACACGCACACATGTTTTAAAGAGTGTTGTACTACGCTGATTGCATGTGAAGCCAAACCTGACAGAGTCCTTCTGAATAAAACCTGTGCTGGCCTGAACTTAACTGTGTAGTTCTTTTAGAAATGTGAAACGTGCTTGTATTGTGATAGCGTACGTGATTATCATGAAAGATAAATAAACATAAAACTTGTAATAACTAATGGCAAGGAATACTGACTTATTTTCGTTTAAATGGTTTCACTTTATAATAGGGCAACATGTATATGTAACATTAAATATCACATTTAATATTAGAATTTAAAGCATGTCAATTATATGTAATTCTTTTATTTAAATGTTCTACTCCATTCACACAATAATGTCTTTTTATTTAATTTTGGGGGCTTTTCTCAGATAATAGTGATGAAAATGTATGTAATTTGATTAAATAATTGTTATAAGTTGGTATTCGATTACAGCTCTTGTTTGCACCTGTTCTAGCTTCATTTCAACAATTTATGACTGTAACTTTCACACTTCCAGATTAGAAGGTGGTCTGATAAAGGTTAAGGCCTAAAGTATAAATTAATCTCAGGGACATGGGGTTGTGGGTTAAGGTGCTTTTACTCATAAAGCCACTTTCCATTGCTTAAATGTTCTTGAACAAGTTGATTTTACGTCAAGCTGAAAACCACAAGTCATTAAACCAATATTTTCATACAACTAGAAAAGTTTCCATTGCCGTTGAGTCCAAGGCTGTCAGACTGGCCTCTTATTGTTGCCAATGATGGAGAATTGATTTGTTGCAGCTTTGATATGGTTTGTGTGGCACAGCTTGCAACAAGATGTGACCTGGATTTGCAGAATGCAGCCTAGCTTACATCTCCGTCAACTAACGTAAGGTTGAACGCTACAATTTGTACAATAAAACTCCACACAAGTGGTTTATTTTTGGAGAAGCCACTAATTTTTTTTTTTTTTTTAGATGTCACCAAGTAATGATGTAATTTTAATTTGACTTCTTGGAGTTATGATGATGATGATACTAGACATTTTTGGCTGGTGATTTCTCACTTTGTAAACTTGACCTCCTGACCTAAAGCTGTAATGGAACCAGGAGAGAATGACATACTGAGAGTTTCTGGCTTATCATATCCTAAAAGAATCTGTAGATACGTTCAGCTGCTCTGTACTATTTGTTTCGACTGGAAAAAGAAAGAAAAAAATGCAGGCAACATAAGTGTACTAACCGGTGTTCTGTGTGGGTAGTCTTCAGGCACTGGCCGTTATCTGTAACAACGTGTCTACAGTGGTAACAGATAGACCGTCGTGTTCGCTGCACATCCTTGACATACAGGGTCGCCCTCGTCTGTTGAGTGATGGTGGTGTTTTATCTGTGAGGTGACGAGGATGTGGCCTTGTCTGACAGGGCTATAAAGGGGCAGAAGCAGCCAGCTCTTCTTCAGATTCCACTTCTTACTCATCGTGCACACATTTCACGTGTAGTCACTCATTCATCTGTTAAGAAAAGTTTTAAAATGTTGCCTGCAACGTTCAAACTGTGTGCTGGCATTTCCTACAGGCACATGAGAAACATGACAGGTAAGGTGTCGTTTCAGGAATCCAGTTTTCTGAAATATTTCTAATTAGTATGCCACTATTTATTGAGGTTTATGTGTATATATTTCTCTTTTTTTCCCAATTACAATCAGGTCTGAGAAAGAATGCAATGATTGCAATCCATCATGAGCTGAGCAAGATTTCCGGACCTGGACCTAGTGCCTGGATCAACCACATCCGGAGAAGGAGCTCCCTACTCAGTAAGATACCTTTTACACCACTTGAACGGAAGAGAGACACTTTTGACTTCAACTCTATGTGTCATAGCTATTTATTTATTCTATACAGTATACCATTTAAGATGTATTACTGGAGCAATAGTGCTGTTGGTTTAAATATTAGAGAATGTGATATTGCTTTTTTACAACAGATCTATAAAGAGTAAGATAATGTTGAGTAGACACAGCATTGACAACTGTTTATCTATTTTTACTTCACCTTTGAAAATAGTTATAAACAAAGCCACAGCAGAATTGTGCATCTCTGAGAAACACTGTAGTTGTCTTTCATTCCTGAACGAATCAGTGTTTTTGAACGAATTGGTTGTGTGAATGTTTCAGTTACACACTCATATACACAGTCACTTGTTTCATTCTTGAATGAATCAGTGGTTTTTCATCAGTGGTGATTCAATGACTCGCTCATAAAGACAGCCCCTGTGTTCAAATCATAGACTGTAAAAAAAGATGGACGACGCGACTCCTATTCCTTCCACTATAGAAAAGTGAAGCCAAAGCATCTCAGTATGGCCGCTGCCATCTTGAGTAAATGACGTCATTTGGAGCCCGAGTCTGCGCAGTAGAGATTCGTTTGGAGCCAGAGTCTGCGCAGTAGTGTGGAGCCGCGGTATCAAACTCCCACCCAAACTCCCGCAGACCCAATCAACCATGACGACACGCCTCGTTTTTATAGCATCAAATTACTAGCTAAAATCAAACTTATCACAAAAATGAACAATTTAACATATATCAGCGTGATAACAACTACCTTAAATGATCTTTCGGAAAATTGTATTGGAAGCGTAATTTATTTTTTTATTTTGACTTAAGTCCCATTCGTTTACATGGAGAGGGCGGGGTTTATGACCTGTACTGCAGCCAGCCACCAGGGGGCGATAAAAAAGCCCGCAACTTCACTTTTCAGGACATGTGAGGCACACCTGGTTCAAATATGCCTACTTCCATACTAAATGGTAGGCAATACCAGTGTTGGGTCCGAGTCCACCTTGTCGAGTCCTAGTTTTTAATCAGTTGAGTTCAAGTGGGAGACGTTTATTAATGTCTTTTTATATTAATTTTATGTTGTTACTTTTTTATTATTATTTTATATTACACATGACATGGATTCGTCTGTACTGTAAATATCCAAGTCCGAGTACGAGTCCACACGAGTCCATCCAAGTCCAAGTTCATTCACAATTGCAGTCCAAGTCCACAAATCTGGACAATACATGAAATCTGTATTATGTCCAAATTCTTAGCATTCATAAATCAGTAAGCAAAAAGTCAACGGGTGACCTACTACTATTGCCAAGATTACAAAGTGTGCATCTGATGGACACTTTACTATCCCATGAGGCAATGGGAGAGAAGTTAGTCACTTGTATAGTTCCTGAATTATTCAGTGTTTTTAAATGAATCGATTGAATGAATGATTCAGTAACTCACTCAGAAAGACAGTCATTTGTTGCCACCTACTGGCGTACCAATGTAGCTTGCAGAAAGGGTGAGTGAAAAATCACCATTTTCACAGAAATCTTTATTTTCTTCAGAAATCTAGTTTGTATTGGTTTATGCAAAGGATTGTGTTTATTCATGTGTTTCTTTGTACAGGCAGTCGGATTGCAGAGGAGACGTACAGTGAAGCTGAGCAGTGTTATGTGCAGCAGGGACAGGAAGCTTTGCAGAAGTCCATCAGCATCCTCAGTGACCAGGATGGCTGGCAAACTGAGATTGAGAGTGTAAGAATCATCAATAGTTAGTAGTAATAATAATAAGATTTCATCATTCATTCTGATAAGACCATAGATGCCTTGTATTTGTGCATATTTTATTATACAGTTTTATACAGCACTTTGGTGTCCCAGGCCTTTAGAGGCCTTTTTTATTCATATATACTATATAATTAATCATTTAAAAATGCATATGTGGGGTTTTCTCTCTCAGGCCAATGGTGATAAGGTGATGAGTAAAGTACTACCAGACATTGGGAAAGTATTCAAGTTGGAAGTCATGCTGGAACAGAAGACAGCTTATCTATATGAGGAGCTGGTGGATAACATGGAACAAATGGGGGAGTGGAACCCCAATGTCAAACAAGTCAAAGTGGGTAGAAACAACTGATCTATTGACTGACAGCTTCCTTTCCTTCTATCTGTTGGTCTGACTGCAATGTGTGCATTTATAGTGTCTGCACATTTAAAAGACTTCCTGTCTTCTCATGTCTTACTCACAGAGTAGAGATATTTAGTATTCAGTACAGTTTTGGTCCCTCTCAGGTTCTTCAGAAGATCGGTCAAGATACTCTGATCACACATGAGGTTTCAGCTGAAACACCTGGGAATGTGGTGGGCCCACGAGACTTTGTAAGTGTCCGTTGTGCCAAGCGGAGGGGATCTACGTGCTTCTTGGCCGGGATGTCCACTCAGCACCCTGGAATGCCTGAGCAGAAAGGATTTGTAAGGTAAGTGAAAATATGAATCACTTTCCTGTATATGGCCTGGTTCAGTGTCCTACAGCAAGCTATCAGAGTTCCTCTGAAACCCTCCACCTTCCCCAGCTCCACCTGTCTAGATCTGTTATGGTGCTTATTCATGTAGCAGCAGCCAAGACCAAATACATTAGCACTGTCTTATCGATTAACATGTTAAAACTATTCTGAGGGTTCTTATGATTGAAATATACACATTTATATTTACAATATTTCTTTCTTTCTAAGGGCTGAGAATGGACCCACCTGTATTGTGATGCGACCAAGTGCAGAAGATCCCAATAAGACAAAATTTACCTGGTTGCTCAGTTTAGACCTTAAGGTAAGTGAATTGTGTGTGGCTGTAAATTCTTGGATGTTACAAATATATTCTTGTATTCCAGTTTAATAACTATTAGCAAGCTGTTACAAGGCTGATTTCCCTGAAAAGTTTAAACACTCTTAGCACTGTTGGCACAGTCGAAATTGATCTGGTTGTTTGAGACCAACAAACATCTCTTATCCCAACCAATTGGGGGAGTTTTCAGGAAATCTGTTAGAAGCAGTTTTTTTTGCAATTTAGGTTGCTCCATTGT